AATTCAATTTCCAGTTCTTCTCAGTCTAAATCTTCTAGAAACATTAATACGTAAAAAGAAAAATTTCAAATTATGTTGTTAATTTAAAAATGACTGTTTAAATCATATATTTAGAAATGAATTATAGTAATTTATAATAGGAATAAATATTCTATATTTACGGAATGATTTGCAGAATGCAATGCATACAAATTTTATCATATAGCTGCGAGAACTTGATTTTGAGACATGTGAATATTTGCTTACAACTTCACAGTTTCAAGAGACATAGTAAACATTGGTAACTATACAAATCATAATACTGTGTTTAAATCGTTGTTATTAATAAGACCCTGGAGAAGCTTGTTATTCGGATCCATGGCAATAAGAATTGAAAAGAAGATATGTGTTTTGTGATTTATTACGATCATTGTGAACATAATTTTTTCGATGCTTCAACATATATCTACTATGTACATTGTATACTTTATCTTGTTTGTTAAGTTTATTTAATTTTTTTTTTATTAAATTTTTTTATTAAATTTATTTTTTTCATTCTCAATTTTTCTTTTTATTCACTTTCTTTATTTCATATTTATATTATTTGCATTAAATTTTATTTGTTATAATAACTTATTAATAAATAATGAATTTATTAAAACTTTCTAAAGATCGAAAGGATGAATTTGGCAACATATGTATTATATAATTCAATCTAACTTATCCAAAAGATATATTCTATTCATGAAAGTTATTTTGTTAATATTTAAGAAATAACGAACATCGGCTAAAATCTTTTGATTATTCAAAATTACTTAGGAAGGCGATCTTGATAATATACATATATATTAATAAGGAATTTTTTAAATCCCATATTTATCAAATTTACTTTTGTCTTCAATGTCTTTTCTATATCTTTTATATCCAAAAATAAATAATATCAGAATCTATATTCTCTTCCTTTGAATTATTTTAAATATTTTTCTTATAAATAATAATAATGTAAAAAAATGTAATCAATTAGATACCCAATACATACTATTTACTATTATATATGTTTATATATCGATTTTATATTTTATAATATATATACATAACACATATGCAATACAAATAAATAAGTATGTGAATAAAAAAATAATAAAAATTAAATAAAATGAAATTTGATTTCATAATTTGATTGAATATTCATCATTTAATGTATACTACACATGTATATTTAAATACATCCAGCAAATACATTTAGAAATTGGGGTGAGTGAACAATAGCTTGTGCAAAAGACCAAGATATTAAATCAATTTATTCTATAATACAATTAGCAACATTATAGCGACTTGAATTGTTTAGATTACTCCATTGGATTAGACTCCATTAGATTAGATTAATGAAATAGACGTATGTCATTTCTACATTTCTCGCATGATATGATAACTTTACTTTCTATTTTTGAAAAATTCAAAGTTTATTACGAGTAAAATCGTATTAATTAAACGTATTTGAACATTGTTATTAATAAATAATTTCGATGTTAAAAAGATAATTAAATGAAAATTAAGTTCAAAATTTATTTATAATCTTGTCATATAATCATAAAAATTTTTGTATATTTTTCAAGAAAATTATTTTTATTGAATAAATTATTTTTTATTTCACTATTTTAAAAAAACACATACTCTTATAATATATATAATATATTTAACATAAAATAATAATAATAATACTTATAATTTAGTTTTACAAGTATAAAATGAATTTTGTAGCATTTTATAATACAATTTTCTAATATAAATTTTCTAATAAGTCAATTTTTTAATACAAAATGTATTTAATGAACTATATATAACACCGTTTTCTAATATGTTATGAAATTTACTTAATATAATAGCATAATAATTAAATAATTAATTGAATGCATAAGTTTTTTGACTACAAAGTCAATAAATATAATTGTCAATAATATATTGTTTTTTATTTGCTTTTTAAAATATATAAATTGTTCCACATTGATAAATTGATGCATTATGAAATATATAAGAATTTTTACGGATAAGTATATACATGTATAGTTTATTTTAATAACTTGAATAATAAATTCGAATTTTCAAATAAAATATTATTACTATCCTAATAGGGTATAATAAGTTTTAGAATCTTAACAGCAATAAGAGGCTTAATTTTTATAAATATCATATTCAGATGAAATAGATATAAAATTTAAGAATAATTTTAAAATAAACATAAAAGTGATATATGATAATTTTTTTTATTCTTAAGTTATAGTTTTTAATTTTGCATCAGATGAAGCAAGACGAAGATTATCTCATTCTCATCGTTGTTTGTAATGCAAGATTAAATTGCTTATAATTTTAAAAATAAATTTAAACAGATGTTTTTTCATATTTTTATTTACTTATATATATATATATATTTATTTATTTATTTTAATCCTTAAATTTTTTATCTATTTCATCTATCATCTTATACATATATATGTAGACTAAGATAAGATATTAATATATTTTTTGTAGAGATGATTAAAAATTAAAACAAATACGAAAATTGTTACAAAAATAAAGCTTATTCCGATTCATTTATTAAGTTATAATATAAATGATATATAACTAATATTTATGCAATATTTAAATACACAAAAATTTATAAATTATATATAATATACAAAAAATAATATATCCAAAGTATGATATGTATTATTATATTTAAAGAATAAGTTTATTTAAAATATCTATTTAATTCCATTTCATTTCCATTATTATATTTATCATATTAAAATTTTATTTTATATAAGCATCCAAATATATTTTATAAGCAATTCAAGTATACGTTACATAAAGCAAGATGGAAATGAAGATGAGATTTATCTTCGTTACATTCATATCATATTCGCGATTGACATTTTTATATATCAACTTTTGTATTTATTTTGATCCAGTATGCTCTAAAAATCGATATATTAATAGTTTGTATATTTATTTTATATCGAAGATGTTTATAAAAATATAAAATATTTTTAGAGAATGGATATTTTTATAAATAAAATATGTTAAAATATTCATAGATTATCTTTGAAGAGTCGATTCTAAAAACTAAAATAAACACAGAAATGTTAATTTTATTATAATTTATTTATTAAATTACAAGCAATTGCATTAGGTGAAAATAAAATTCTCTCGTAGCTATAAATTATTTATAATTTAATAAATAACTTTATAACTTAATAACTTTATAAATTTAATTGTTCAATTAACATTTTTGCATATCAATTTCTATATTTATTTTAGCATTTGATATTTCAATAATATTTTTTGAAGATATTTAACATTTTGTATATTCGACAATTCAAAAATAATTTTTCTATATATTAATTATTTCTATATATTCTATATTCATTCTATATATTAATTATTTCGATTAATATTATTTATTTATTTATATTTATTATTTTAATTTAATGTGAATTATTATAGAATTTGTTAACCCCAAACTTTTTAATTTTCTTAAAATTGCAAAAATTAAAAATCTTTTAATCTTGATATGATTATAGATATATGTAATTTTTTAAACATAGAAAAAAATTATTTCATGTTATTTTTTCATTTAAAAATAAGAATTTTTATTGCCTCTAAAAATAAAAAATAAATGAAAAATAAATATATGAAAAAATTAAATATCCAATTCAATAATACAATAAACATATTGAATTAATTTCTTAAACATTCAATGTTTTATTAGTAAAAAAAAAGATAAAATAAAATAAATAATTCAAACATAAAAAATTCCGATATAATAATCTTAAATTTAAAAAAATTTTAAATTACTTTTGAAATCACGGATAATATCTTTTACCATTTTTGATAAGTCTACCATCGCCTACCACGATTCCGATGTCTCAATCGCAACCTAACACACTCCATAATTGACTATGAGCTAACTCATCAACTAACGAACGATTCATCCTCCGCTATTCGCCCACATGTTAATCGATTCTTGCGACAAATGCAAACGAAATCAAATTGAAGAGATGATCACTAATACTTTCTCATTAAAGAAGATATATGGAAATCTGCACCAAATAAGACATCTCGTGAATTAAAATAATGATATACAAAAAAAAAAAAATAAAAATTAACAAATTTTTATATTTAATTGCATTTACATTATGCGACTGAAGAGTTCAATGAAAAGAAATAGAAATATGTATAATTTAATTACAATTTTTTTGTATGATTAATTATTATTTGTTTTTTATTCTATAATCTTATAATCTTATAATATACACATATGTAATATATATTATATATTCATTTTAACACTATATTATATATTTAAAATAATTTAAATAATATAATAGTTTAAATAATGTAAATATTATAATAAATATTATTATAATAAATTGAAAATTTTCTTGCCATTAAAAACTAACAAATATCTATAAAAAAAAGCTCAATAAAAAAAATAGATTTAAATATCATAAAGAATTTGAACATATTAATAGAGCATTATTATGTTAAGTTAAAAATTATTGCATCAAAAAAAAAGATATTTCATAATTAAATTGTAATATGATATATCTTAGAAAAAAATATTTCATAAACTATGAATCGTAATATGAATTCATGGTATCGAAATAAAAACTAATAATAGCAATTAATAATTTACTCGCAAATTTTCCAAAACAATTATTTTTAGTAGAAATTTTTCTATAAATTTACATATAATAAAATTATATATATTTCTCTTCCAATGAATCACTAATTTTTATCTCAATAATACATTAAAATAAAAATTTTATTTGGAAAAATAAATGTTTTATATATTTTACGTTATTAATTATATCTGACACTATCAAATTATCTAATATATAATTCGTTATCTAATACGAAATTTCGTTTTAAATAATGTTGTTTTTAACTTATTTAGAAGGAAGCTTTTTATATGAATTAAGATTCATTCGCTTTAATTTGAGACTAATTAATTTAATTTTGTTGTTTATTTAAAAACAGCAAAATATAAAATAAAAAAAATAGATAACAAGATTTCTCGTATGTCAGCATCAAAAAATGCCGCGGTTGTAAAGGTTTTTGGTGGGGGACCTTGACCGAGTGACGTTCACTACAGCAGGAGCAAGGAACAACGTGCAGCAGGAGCACCGAGCAATAATAGCAGCATCAGTGCCGGCTGGTTTCCTACCAGGTTGCTCTGCGACGTGTGTATACCTGTTAAAGTCCGTATGCTGCTGCATCTTACAGAATCGGTTCGTTCATTCGTTCGTCCATCTGTGGCGCGTTCGTCTGTCCGTTCTCGTCCGTTATTGCCTCCTTTTCTGCCTGTCTCTGCCTCTCTGGGCCCAGTCCGGTGGGATAGAACTTCGACCGCGGTGGAAGGAGTAGTAAGCGGCCTACGCAGTTTCAACCTGGATCTCAGCTTTTATTAGTTCTTCGGCGCTCGGCGAAGAATGATGCGTGCCGGAATAATAGTAGTCAGTGTGCGTTCAGATCCGGGATTATCTAACTACTGTTAATTAATACGAACAAATCGTACGCATAATATCTAAACGATTCATTCAGTGAACGAGGATTATATTTGGTGAATATAGTATTAATTGATGGTATCCTGCAATATAAATTTATATATCGTGTATGTACATCGAATGACTTTCATTCATTGGAAACATATCATGTGTAATTATAGTTTTTAAAATTTCGTGAAAGTGACTTCAAATAAGGGAAACGAGTACATAAAGTTAAAAATTTGAAGTGTATTGAAATATTTCGATGCAATGAGAATAAATGTGTAATCTTCATATCATCACTGATATATAGAAAAGGAAGGAACGAGATAACTGTCCAATAATTGATGATCAATAATAATCATTGTTACAACATCATATTAAATTAGAATCAGACAAGGTGTTCGTCATCAGTTCCAAAGGACAAAACATCTGGCTATCTCTGGTGGCAGTGACAGTTGTACGTAAGAGTGTTTTGTCCGATTTGATCACCCGAAAATTCTCTCCTTCTTATTACCATTTGACTCGCGAATGAACCATTCTTAAGCTATCTGTAAACAATATATTAAAAGAAGATATCTGTAAATATCAAAAGCATTATCGACCGGAATGTTACTGTGTCAGTGAAAGTAAATTGAATTCTGAAGTTTGAAATTTTGCTTAATCGCATTAAGTTTAAAGATCATGTCTTTGACGAGTCTTTTCTGGTTGATCGTGGAAGAAATCGATTTATTTCAAACATGATATTGATTTAGATCGATTTGTCGATTATGGTAAGACACGTGAGAAATAAGTAAACAGAAGAGATTTATTTTTTACGATACATTTTTTTTTTTCTGAATATCTTTTGTTTTATTTTTTTTTCTTTTATTTGATCGTAGAAAAACTTGACTCATTTCGAATTGATGATTGATTTTTGATGATACATAATGTACGAAAGATATGTAACGGAAGAGATTCGTCTTTGACTGTTTCCACTTTGACGGAAAGAAATATAGCAGTTACATTACTCAAGGCTATAAGTATGTTTGTACTGACGCGATACATTGTCGGCAAAGACTCGGTGTTACATAAAAACCTGATATTTATAGATCGCGTGTTTGCAGTTATTAAACAACCTTGAAAATTCCATCGTTCATAAATCAATCTTGAAATTTCGATAAGTTTAATAATTTATTATGTGTAAAACACATTGTTAATCAAATGCAGAAATATTTATTAAAACATTTATTATAATATTTAACATGTTGATTGGTATGGTGATTATTGATAATTATTCATATGCACTAGTTTTAAACAATGATGCCAGAGAGATTATTGATTAGAATTGAAATCTGTTAATCTGTTAACTGATTTTATAATTGAAAATTTCTCTAACAATAGAATTGAAAGATTTAATCGAATCATTTTTAATAAGTATAAAATATATGTTTAATAAAAATGAAAAAGTTGTGTCGAAGTAAATTCATTAATCGTTAAAAAAATTTTTAATGGAAATGAAATTAATTTTTCTTATCTAATTGAAATAAATAAATAAAAATAAATAAATATTTATAAATTTTTTAACAATCCCAATATTAACAATTATATACTAATAGCATTATATATATTATATAATATTATATATATTATATATATTATATATTATATATTATATATATAATAAAATAATATTTGAGCTAATGAAATCCAACATTTTATTACAAAAATTATATTTGACGAATAACTTTTATATGATTTTTAATTGAAGATTTATCCTTATTTTTATATATTTTTATATATAGATTTATTTTTTTATCATCTAGCAATAAAAAAAAGTCTTAAAATGTCAAAGTGAAAGATATGAGAATCTTGCATTTTAATAATAAATAATACTAAAAAAATAATCGATAAATTCAACTGTAAAGTGTTATATTTCATCTATAAAATTTATAGATAACATTACTTATTATTATTATTTTTTTTTCCTTATGTTTTTTAATCGACTTTTCAAATAACTTTATGATAAAAAATATTAAAAATGTACGTATTAAATCAAATGGATCATATTTTCAATTTTAATTTTTAATGAATCTGTTGAATGCGTTTCATTAAAAATTGTAACTGTATTTTAATTTCAATGATTCCTCTAATAAATTACATTTACATATTATAAGATATAATCAATATCGCATTAATACTATATAAATAAAATATAAAATAAATTCTCACGTTAATCAACATATTAATAATATCAAATTTTTGTTTGTCAAAGATCAAATTCTTCTAAAGTTTCATATAAATCCCAGTCTTTCGTATCATTTATTTCGAAACAAATAAACGAATGGATGGACATACGCAACTCACCTTCGCAACGAGATCACCGTAATTATCTTGATCGTGAAAGTATATCGCGGCTCGGATGGATGGCTCATTTGATCCATGTTCATCAAACGACCGAGAAGGCGAAACGTTAATCGAAAGGGAAACGACTTTCAGCAGACGCGCGAGTAGATTGCGGAACAGGTACGCGTGCGATTTACTCTCTCGTCGAGTGGCAAGGATCGTCGATAGAGAAACCAGAAATGCAATGGGAAGATACTATCGCATTAACTGAAAGATCAATTAATTCGTGCTAACGGATTTTAATCACTGTATCGATAAACGTTGAACGTATAATTGGATTTATTGTAAACAAATTTTTGATCATGCGTTAAATAATTTATTATTATGAAATAAAAATAACTAAACTCTCTATTTTTATAAAATAATATTCGCTCGATTAAAATCTTTAATCTGATTGATTTATAAGAAGATATTAATTACAAGAAATTGCAATTAATCTTTAATTAAAATTAACTGTCAATAGTTAATTGTAAATAATGATCATTTCACAATATATTCTCTAATAGATGTGTAGGTTTTTCTAATAAAATATATATAATAAATAAGTAATAATTTCCTCGAAACATTATATATTTAATCAAAATAATCATAATAGCAATATATTTTATATGAATTTTATATATTATAAATTTATAAATAATTTTTATAATAGTAATAAAATATTTTTCTTACAAATTTATATTGAAAAGACATTAACACATAATTTTTCAATAAATTTATTTTATATCTTATATCATAATGTTTTTCTTCATATATTTTCTTCATATTTCTATATATATTTCATAAAACGTTTGCCAAAAATTTATAAAATGAGACAAATCATAATTAAACAAATCTAAATCTAAATTAAAAAACAGAAAGTAATAAAAAAAAACTTAGAAAAGAAAAAAAAAATATCAATTGGAATAATAACAGAATTCCGAGAAATGTATCAATAATAGCGTAAAAAATTGAACATATGTCTCAAGAATGTGTCAGTTAAAAATGTCAAGAAACATAGGTGCAAAATAAAAGACCATGTGAAGTTTGACACAGTTTGACGAGGTCTCGAGTCTCGTCCTGTTTCACGTCTTTCTCGACGCATCCCTTGTTAAATCCAGAAATAGACGCCAGATTCTGCAACCAGCTTTTATGAGCGGCTCAATCTTTGTCGTTTTTCTTTTTTTGTTTGCTCTTTTATTTTATCTGTTTGCTTGCGACGAGAATGAAGATCGCATCTCATCTTGATGTGCGAATCTGCCGCCATTCGCACCCGAATTTCCTTCATTTTAATCATTTTAGTCATTTTAGTATTATCTTGTTCGTTTTATCGTATGTAAGAGAAAAAGCAATCGTGATACTCGAGGAACAAATCTTTTACGACTTACTTTTAATGTGCTACTTTTAAAATGTATCAATGAAATACGTGTTATATGTGCCACTTATTAAGTGAGAAATTTTAACAAATAAGTGAAGTTAGAATGAATCAGTATCGAATTTCATTGTTAAATAAAATTAATATTTATATTTATATTTGAGTTTATTTGTCATATTGATTAATTTTTTTAAAATAATAAATATATTACTATCGTGAATTGATTTAAAATTAATTATTTTTTTTTTATATTTATTTTCTTTGAGAATTTAAAAAATATTAGTATAACTAATTAGTTTTCGAATTTGATGTCGTTTTGAATGTGATTAATTTTTGAAATAATTACAATATTTAATTATTATCCTTATTATTGTTAGATATTGTAATAATAAAATTTATTAAAAAATAAATGTATGATTAAAAATAAAATATTTATATGTGTATACTTTTATTTTTATAATTATTTGTGAAATATTTATATTTATATATAATAAACTATAATATAACTTTATTTATAATAGCATTAGATTTTAAATACAATATAATATTAAATATTATTTAAATATTATTTATTTTATTAATTATTTATAAAGAGATATTTATCGATTTCAATGATTTCGAAATATTAAGAGCAATATTTTGAATAATTTTCTTCTAGATATATGTAAATAGTCTTGGTTTTAATTTTCGAAATATTCCGATAAATTATATTGTCAATATTATATATCACATTTCTAAGATTTGATTCATATTTGATAAGTTTAGGATATTTTTGGATTATTTTGAATAGTTTTGATTTAATTTAGATAATAAATAAAAAATATAATTACAAATTATATAAAAATTTATCATACATTATTATTAATAGATATAATTTGTAGTTTGATTATTGATGTAAACATATTTAAATATTAATTCTAAATAATATCAATTCTAAAATGAGATTTTATCTTTTCATATGGCTACTTATGTTAAAATCAAATTAATATAATATAATCCAATAAATTATTCTACAAAATATTAGAAAGCATAATTAAAAAATTAAGATTAAATATTGATTATATGTATAAAAAAAATTTCAAAATTATAACATTCGAGATCATTAAAATTAATGAATATAATAATAATTATTATTGTTTTTTTTAATCTAAAAAATTATCAAATTCAAATGAAATTGTTGCTGAATTAATTATCAATTATCAAATTTATAATATTTGATTATCAAGTGTATTTATCTTTCAATGAAGTTCATATTTGTAACATAATATGATATGAAAGATCTTTAAATGTATTAATACATGATAATATTGAATAAAAATATTGAATAAGAATAAGAATGAATATATCAGATTTGAGTATCATGAATATAAATAGGAATATAAGCAGATTATTTAGAAAAATGCGAATTGCTTGACTATTTTTTATATTATATTTGATAACATAAAAATATTGTAAATTATAAAATTGTTTTAAATTTGATAAAAGAATCTATACAAGAATTTCTTTCGCTTTTTTTTTTTTTTACTTTCTATTAAGTTTCTTTAATATTATATAACATGCTTTTTTTCTCTTATTTGTAATTATAAAGTTTAAAAAAATAATTATTGATATGAGCTTTTATTTTTTTAATTTATTTGTATAACTTTTGTTTGGAAACCAATTAATATTTAATTAATTTTCGAAAAAGATTTTTTCTTCTGAAATTTGAGTTTAAAAATTTTATTCCTTTCAATTTCTTCTTTTTAAATTTTTATTTATATTAAAAAAAAACTTTTCCTATAAATATAATCATTTATTTATCTATAATTTTGTGAATTTGTAAATTTTCTATAATCTTTAAAATTCAAATAATTTATCAATAATATTTCAAATAATATTATAATTAATATTATAATAAATATTATAATATTATAATTAATATTTTGTTGTAATTAAATTTTTAATAATTTCTATTTAAAAAAAATAAAATTTTTTATAAAAAATTTTTATAACTTATTTCTTAAATATTCTAAAATATTTACACAAGTTTTAAAAATATCTTTTTTGACAAATGTCAAGAATTGTTTGATTTAGTTTTTTAAATCGATTATTTTATCCTGATAATTTCAATGTTACAATTCATAAACATCTTCATTGGAAAAACATTCTGATTTCAACAAACCAGGATTAAAATACTCTTGAAATCGAATATTTATATTTTTAGCAATGTGTTTTTGTCAATAAATTTAATTCATAATGAACATCTTTTAAGATTAGCCAGGATTTAATTTTTATAATTAAGATTATAATATGATTTAATTTAATAATCGGCTTCAATATTAATTATGAAAGATCTTAAATTGTTTAGCTCTAAGATAAATAATTAGAAAAAGAAACACAATAAAAAACATAATAACGAAAAAAGCAAATTGCATAAATTTATATGTTCCTAATGATCATAAGCAATTATATATTAGTTCGAACTTTTTAATTCTTTTATTTTCTGGAAAATGTCAAATCATCGTTATCAAACATCAAGTTTAAACTAAACAATCAAGAATTTCAACACAAATTTTTTCATAACAATTTTTGTTTTCATCACAGATGCATCATTGAATTAATACATTTTTCGTAGCAATATAAATTGATTTCAGTATTGACAATATTAGTTCATCAGTTAATAGCAAAAATCGCAATATTTTTGTTTATTATATGTTTCACGTTTGTGATTTTTTAATATATTTCAAATGATTTGTTTCTTTGAATTTTTAAAAATCAGATACGTTCGATCTCTAATTTAATGAATTATTCAGACAAATAAAATAATATCTATTTATCTAAAAAATTTGAATTTCTTTAAATTCTTTTAAAGTGAAAGAAATTTAAGTTTTTTTTTAAAGTGTAATAGACATATTTCCAAGCGCGAACTTTTGATTTTATCATTAAATTATGGATGTCACACTGCAAAAATAATAAAAAAGAAGATGCTAAATGTTTATAAAATGTATTTATTGTGATGAAATGGCGAAAATGGTAGATAATCATATCGTATTCGGTGATTAATTACTTTTCACACATGTATCTCGAATATATGTAGGTCTTAAGAATTTATGACCTATGAGTGGGGTCATTGGTTATATTTTAACTTTTTTTCTTGGAAAATTGTATATAGAGATGTTAATCAATTTTTTTTAATTGCAAATTTGTTTCATTTGTTCTATGTATATTTCAACATATAATGTATATTTTTTTTAACATAATAAACTCGATTTTTTAAAATTTGTTAATACTAGAATACATGAATAAAATAATGAATAAAATACATATTTTATTTTTCAAATATTATTAAACAGAATAATCTATATTCATATACATATATTCATACAGATAATGATTTATATTCTCATATTCGCAATTCCCCCTCGACATGAACAGATATAATACAACTTGTTAGTTAAATTCGTCATTTTCATCTCAACCATTTCTTGCGATTTTTCAAGATTCCTTCCTGCACAATTCTTATTATCAAAAAAAAAAAAAGTTTTTTATAGTTTTTTAAAATCACATTTTTTATTGTTTACATGAAGTTCGTATAAATTGAACCATTTTTTTCTAAAAAAAAACTTTTTACATTCGAAAAAATCAACTTTAGTTGAAACGAGATAAGTTTAGAAAATATATATTTCTCCTATCGCAATAGATTTGCTTCTTCAAATTTCTCCAACTTTACAATATTTTATATTCTCTTATATTACAAATACATACATAAAAATTTATCAATTTGAATTTGATTAATGAAATGAAGATATGGAGATGAGAAAAGTGAATATTTATCGAACCAGTTGTGTTCAAATCCAAAAGAAAAAGAAAAAAGATAAAAGACTATGTCAATATTCGTTTTATGACGATGAGGACATTTCTTTGTCATTCTAACCGTCCTCGCGAAAAATTTTTTACCAAATATGGCCAGCGGTTGCGACGCCGGTTCAGTATCTTAATCCAGTGATCACAGTCACGCGAATTGTCTCATTCGAAGTCGGCGGCCCTTCCGTGAGAGAGATAATAAAGTCGTCGAACCCAACCCCCAAGTACGGGTGCTTGAACCACGGACAAGTCGCTATTAGATGGCCTTGAGAGATGAAGCGCATACGAGGTCACCCTTGCAAGCTCGAAAGGCGGCCGAGATCCCGCGCGGATACTCGCGAACGCAGGTTGAATCTGAAATCATGATACCTGTGCGTCATTCGCTCCTCTTTAGAAAGTGAAGATGGTTCCATAGAAGGAATTGATGAATCGTGCTATGTTTTATTGCTTGGTAATTGGAAATCGATCGCTGTTGAGAATTTCATTTATTCGAAATGAAATACCAATGATTTTGTTAAAAATATTTTTCCAACAATTGGAAATAATTCTTTCTTTTTTTTTTTTGAACTTGACGAATTTTTTTATTTTTTAATTCACATTTCAATAAGAGAACAAAAAGATTTATCAAGGAATATGAGATAATTGTGAGACAGGGTATTTAGCAAAAATCAATTATTTTTACAGGTATCTTTGCATTTTTCTTGCTCGAATAACACCATCTGTTGAAAAATCTACAGAATTTGAAATTTTTATATTGTATATCGAGATTTCAAATTGATATTCCGAATACATAAACCATCTTAATCATCTAAATTTTTCAATTAAAAAGATAATAAGTAGATAATTATTATAAATTTACAGTTTTTCAGGAAATTTGTTTTCAATATACCATAGTTTTACTTCAAGTAATATATATTTATAATGTTTTTATATGATATAAAATTTATTCTATATTTCAAAGAAAATGGCAAATTACTTTCGCTTAATGTTAATATTTGAAAAATTCAAAAAAATAGTGAAAATTAAACTACTCGATAATAACTCGATACTCGATATATTTAAAAGATGTGCGTTTGATTACACGATTGATAATAAAATAGTAACGCTCGAGATTATAGCTTTGTATGATGCTTTATGAAATAAAATAAAGGAATACAAAGTAGCTTATCGCACAATCATGAGTTTATTGTCATCATTGCGCATCGTCATCATTATTCTCGTAACTGTCAATAATCCGTTTGCAGATATCCGTTTGAGTGTCTCATCGGATTGCATGATGACAATGGAGACCATTATCACTCGTCCCATTTCATCCCGATCATCAACGTTACATGTACACATATACGAACAATGCGTTCTCGTTGCGTGCAAGCGAAAATAATCTTGTTGACAGTCATACTTATTACAATTTGAAAAAAATCAAATCAACTGTTACGCGACAATCAAAAGGATAGATTCTACAGTGAACAGTATATGCTTTATAATGCATGGTTCTATGTAAATTTGTTTTTTTCTTGTTAAATATCATTAAGAAAGTTCAATACATGATATTATCAAAGTTTTAAATATTTTTAAAAAATTTTTGTTTCCACAATCATATATCTAGAATGCTGAATTTTTAAAATCCGTAAAGAATCTTCGTAATCCTGCTTATTAAATTATATATATATTTTTTAAGTTAAAACTCCAAGAGTTAAGAAAATTTTTGACAAACGATATAAATTAATTTTTCAAAGAAATTCAGATGTAATAAAACAAGTTGATAAAATAATAAATTTCTTATTTAATAATTATTTTTTTAAAATAAATGTTAATTATATAATAAATAAATAAATTTCCTAAAATTAAAACTTAAAATTTTCACTCTAAGTTTATTAAATAAATAAAGAAGATATGAATCGTGGGAGATAATTTTCTTAGAAGATATTAAAATGTTCCTTTTTTTGTCAATTAATAATAAAATATTATCCATATTCAATATTGATCGTTTTTACAATATAGCAATTCGAGGATTCTTCTATTGTTTAAACGCAATGTATTAATGTTTTTCTGGGTAAAATGTGAAAAGCAACTATACTGTAGCTGTGAGCCATATGGCCAGTACTTTTACTTACGACCGCAACCGGTACTATCCTCCGGTTTGGCTCTAAATCGCTGATAGAAGCGATTTCTCTAACCGCAATAAGGACAACCGCAAATAGATCAATATATAGGCTCATATATATTGATAGACTAGGCACAGCCACGCATATATTCATGCATGCATTTGTATTAATGTCCTTGTGTACATATAAGAAACTCGTATATACTAACAAGCTTCCCGCTAAAAACATTAAAAAAAATATTCCTAAGATTGCGATAAAAAAAAAATGAAAATTTCTTTTTTATTTACGCGGATATAGACCAACTATCCAATGTAACTATATTATTTTCATTATTAATAAACTGATTAAAATTTTTCAACGCATCTTCAAATTGATGACATATAAATTTTTTTATGTATGTTCTTATTTTTTCACTTGTTTTCACAATCATATTCAATTTTTTCATATATAATTATATATATATATTTTTTTTTATTTTTGAGTTTATAGAAATAAGTTTGAAGAAACAAAAAATATGGAAGAAAAAATTAAATGTCATCACATTGAAGATCTTTTAGAATCATATTGTCTCTCTCATGTTAGAATTACAAATATACACATTTCTCTTTGAGTAAATGGGATGAACTTTGATTGATTTTTTTATCCTTGATTTCATATTACAATGATAAGCAATGTTTTATAATGAAATTGAAATATTAATTGAAATATTGACATTTGAAAAACTTTGATATTGATAATTATTTTAATATATTATTTCGTTATAACATTTAAAATAAAAAAATTTTCATAAATCATCGAATTACATACATATGCCTCTAGCATGAGAAGAACGATAAGAAAGTATAATCGATTCGATAATATCACTAAAAAAGAAAACGAAATAAAATAGTTATGTTATGTGATCCATTATAACAGATAAAACATAAATCTCGATCGATGAGATTAAGGATTATCTCACAGATTTATATTAAAAGCACAGCTTTGCTTGGCTTACAGGTCGGTGATCGGGTCTAAGAGGGAAGGAGAGGGGAGATAGAGAGTGTAGAAAGAAAGGAAGGGTGACAGCGTTTAGAGGCCAGGGTGTTAAAGCACACTTGGGTGCAGGGGTTTCGAGGTAAGAGAGAACGAAAGAAAAAGTACGACGAAAAAAAGAGAGAGAGAGAAAAAAGAAAAACTGGTTGGTGTCCGGCTCTATATGTTATGATTGGGAGTGAAAAGACGGGAAGATGCTCGAGGTTCAGCAAACGGAGTTTTTAAGAGAGGGAGAAGCCTGCAACTCTCCTGTCGACTTACTACATCCTGATTCGACCGGAACTTCCGTTTCCGAGCGGAAGTCCGCTGAGAGAAGCGTCTCCTTCAATCGAGACGTCCACGTCAAGAGGATCGGTGAGTCCAGGCAATCACACCATATAAAAAAGAATAAATAGCATTGAGACAATAATGCAAATACGGAACGAGTTGGTTTAACGTTGTTTGATTTTATTTCGCTATTTTTTTTGTTTTTTTTTTTTGTAAATATTTAAAAATATGTATTTATATACAATAGTATGTACAATATGTAATATGTATGTACAATATCACGAGAAGTTTGAGATGATACAGAAATAAAACAAGTACACATTCTTGTTCTTTGTTTACCAATATATGCTGCTATATCATCTGTGATATTTTAATTTATCCAATGCACGTATTTATATTTATGAATATATTAAAATATCAATCAATCTGACTTATATTTCTTCTAAAATTTCTTGTTATTTGTAAAATATATATACTATTTTAAAGCACTGGACAGATATTTATTTTTGAGAGAGATAACATATTGTATTAATTATTTATTAATATATATATGTTTATATATATGATAACATATGTTTTAATTATTTATTATATTTTAATTATAAAACTAATTATAGAAAGATCTATCATGAAAAAAATAAGAAATAATAATTTTAATCAATCATTTTAATAAATAATGATTAAAATTAATTATTAATTTATCGTTTATTTATATACTTTGATAATATTTATAAGTATTGTTGTAACAAATTAATATAATATATTCAGTATATTTACAGTATTTATAAATGATATTATATTCAAGGTTATATTATATATGGTTATATAATGGTTATATAAAAATATAATTATATGAGTATATTATATTCAAGGTTGAATATTTTAATTTATTTTTGTGTTTCTTCTTTTGTTCTTTATTTACTATTATGAATAAAACTATAAGAAAACTATATTAATATTTAATAAGAAATATGACATAAATAATTATCTGTAATATTCTTGATTTCATTTTAGTTTAAAATCTTATTTTTGAAAGATGAAATTTGAAAATCGATTTTTTCATTTTTAAAAATTAATTCAATTGAAATTGAAAAAAATTAAAAATTTGATTATTTATAGTTTATTTATGCAAGTGATTTCAAAAAGGAGAAAATGCAAAATTACTAAATTAATTTTGTTTCATAAAATATTTTATTTAATTAATATTACAATTTTTATTAAGAAATACAATTAAAAATATAAATAAAAATATAAAAATATTATTATATTTAAAAAGTAGTTATATATATTTATAATAGATTTATTAAAAATATACTATATACAATCATGAGATAAAATATATATATATGATAATAGATATTAATTACAAAGAATATAATTTATATGTTTAAAATGAAGCAAGAAAACGAAATTACCTGTTATGATATAAAAGCGAAATATCAAGCATCGTTGTATCAACTTAGAACATGTTCCATCTAATTTATGTATATCTAACTGTTCCAAGCTCAAATTTTTTCGGTATCGATATATAACATATTTAATCAAGAATTCGCTAACTAACGGCACGAATAATTATTGCGTGTTCCGTGATTCATTTCCAGATGATCCTCTTTTTTTTATAGTTATTAATAATATTTCAATAATAATACTATTAATTGTAGTTTCTTAAATACTCTGATTTCATAACAATATTTATTATTTTTTTTTATATATATTTATTTAACGAATACATTTCTATATTCTATACGTAATTCTAATAATAATTAATAAAAAATAAGTAAATCGAACATAATCTCGTCGTTACTCGACTGAATTTTAATTATTCATTTGTCTCCTATTATTATTATTTTTTATTATTTTTATTATTATTATTATTATTATTACATACATATGGGCTCGTAATATGGTAACGGTGTGTACGCGCTGGACTCAACCATTCCTCTATTATCATCAGCTATTAATTATTAATTACATTAATAATTTCTTTATTTCTTTTCTCATTCTATATCAATGAATGTATCATGTGAATCGGTAGTACATATGCACTTGTAACCGATTTCCGCATGTTTGGACTATAATCTTTTATATTGTATGTGTATAGCATCTATATATATATTTTTTTATGTCGCATCTGTATGTATATGTATTGCCATAATTATGGCAAGTGCTTGTCGTATTTTTTAATGCACGTGTTTATATAAAGCATGTCGGACTAACGAAGGAACATATGTAAGTAATTTGGATAATTCAACTGTCTTTAACATTTCGTTCATTTACAAACGAAAATAATTCGTGTAAAATATATAACAATGTTATATTCTTTAGGTAAATAAATTCAAAATTATATTCTTATATTATATTATATATATTGTTATAAAGTGGATTAAATTTTTGTGAATTAAATAATTTTTTTTCTATTCAAATATTTGTAATTTTTATTAAAAATAAAATTTATTTTGATTAATTCAATTTTAATTATTTTGTTTCTTTTTTTTATTTTATTTTATTTTTAAAAGCAATTTAATTTTTCTTAACAAATTTTACAAGAAATATGAAAATGAATTGGAAACTTGTTTAAAAAGCAACAGCAATTCAAAAAGAATTGATTTCATTGATTTTATTTAAGTGAATTTTTTATATAGTGTTCTTTTGTGCACTATGATTAAATTGAGAACAACTTTGTGAAGATAATGCAATATTTAATTCGTTTTTACATAATTTCAATAGAAGCTGAAATACAAATTGCAAAATTTAATTAGAATATTATTAACTTTTATAATAAATATAATATAAAATATTATATAATTTTTAATTAGAAATAAATTTTATTTTAGAAAATTTGTAAATAAAAATCAAAGCAATTCGTGGTATATTTTATTTAATTCATTTTTTTTTTTTTTTTGAATTACGAGTGTTTCATAATTTTCAATTTTCTATTAGAATAGTAATCTTAAAACACATTGGAAAAAACTAATATATATATATATTTAATAAAATTATCCATATAATTTTAATTAATTTTTAATACTAATTTTAAGTATTTCATTCTAAATTTTTAATTAGTTTAATATATTTAAAATCGTTATTATTAACTTTTCTAAAAAATATAAAAGATGAAAAAAAGTTCTCTATATATATTCCGGATTTTTTTTTTTTGTATAAATGTTATCATTAATTCTTTTTGAATTTCATTGCATTTTTCATCGCTTTACAATTTTTTTTGTTTTACTTTCTATAAATATTCATTATTGAATACTTTTTTTATTTTTGATGTAAACTCGAATGCATTTATTTTAAAAAATCGTCAAAAATTCGATTCTCATTGGCAATTAAGTGCAAATGATAAAAATAGATTATACACTCAAAAACATAAAATAGTAATAGATTGATCGCATATACATTAAAAGTGCTAGTGTAGAAATATAAAAACAGTCCGAATAATTATATTAATAATTAATTTGAAAGAATTAAAATATATATTAAACGAAAGAAAAGAACATTTGAAATGGAGAAGTTTTGATATATATAAGATATTTGTTAGACAACAATTTTAGAAGATTAATTTTGGAAACGTAAAAATTAGTGTGTAAAATAAAAATGTCGATTAAAGTTTATTAAAAATTTAAATTATAAGCATTTAAAATTTTTGTTAAATAAGGAAAAATAGAAATAACAATATGACAAACATAGCTGTTTTCACTTCCTCTAAATTAAATTTCGATTGCTTATTAATTTAATAAATAAGTTTTAATTGATATATTTATATACTTTTGGGTTTTATTCTTCCCTAAAATCTACTCTCTAATATATTAATTTCTTTTAACACACATATTTCTTACAATTTCAAGCAAAGAAAAATTTCCTATTTCAAGAAAAAAAATTCTCTGCTTCTATAATAATCAATTAATTTATTATATTTCTTAAATTACGATAGTTATCGAATATTTTACCTAAATAACTTTTATTTATCATTCTGAAAAAAAGTTAAACAGTAATCTATCCCGATTAATCGATCTCAAATACAAGAATATTGCATTGAAAAATTCAACAATTCAATGATAGAATAATATCTTTGGAAGAATTAATAGCTATCCTAATCTTTTGTACTCCAACGATGACTCTCTGACACCAGTTGGATTGATACAGATATTCAATAATATTTATTTATGTTTAATTTTTTTAAAATATCGCTTTATGAATAGATTTCTAAGCTCTTTACATATAATCTTATAAAATGTAGAATAATATACTATCTAATGCTTAGATTTTTTTATTTGAAATTAGACCGTGGATGGAACTATATTTTCGACGTTAATCCGAATTTATTAGCAATAGGAATATTATTTTCAAAGTTTTTAAATTTTGTAAGCATGGAATACGATAATGAAATTCGTTCAAATGAAGATGAGTTATTTGATTTTTCGTTATTAAATAACGAAATTATTTCTATTCATTAAGAAATTGACGACAGAGAGAAAAAAATTAGTAATGAAAATTGAGATGCAGTAAGAGAGGATGAAAAATAAGAATAATAAACAGTGAGAAGAAGTTATCTATTAAGATATTAATTCAAGATGAGTTTTTCGTTATTAAATAATGAAATTATTTCTATTCATTAAAAAATTGACAACAGAGAGAAGGAAAATAGTGATAGAAATAGAGATGTAGTATAAGAAGATGGAAAATAAGAATTGTAGACAATAAATGTAAGAGCACGTAAGGTTTGTAACGACGTGTTGACGTTTTATTGTGATACTTGCCTTGGACAAACCAAGAATGCATCTTGGTAATTACTTTATTATTATTAAAATACAAAACAACAATACAGATTTTTAATATTCAATTTAATATTCAACAAATTTTCTTTCTTTATATGTAAAGATACATAAAATATTAAAATATAAAAGTTTTATATATTAATTTGTGTGTGAAATCATTTTAAATTAAGAAATTCATCGAACGAGTGCAGGAAATCGTGTGGAGTTGTTGGTTCGTCCGAGCGAAAAAGACCTTGGAGTGCAAAGAGTTAAACAAAGTTAATTATCTAAAGATCCAGCTTATGTTTATATTATTTTATATTTGCATTG